TCATAAATAAAAGTTGATTAACGGTACCATCACAGTAGCTAGAGATAAGTCTTATAACAAGCTGATGAAGACTTGGACAAAGCTATTTAATGGCGAATTGAACACTATTAAAGATGATATTTAGCTGACACTTTGCATAAAAGAATGACTCATCTTAGTCATAAAGAATTACAAATTTTAGCAAAGAAGTGTCTCATTCCATTTGTCAAAGGTATGACTCTAAACTCTTGTCATATTTATTTACTAGGCAAGCAACATTAAGTTTTTTTTAGTCGTACTTCTAAAAAAAGATAATATGCTTAATTTAATTCTGATGCATGTGGTCCCTAGTGAAACTGACGGTACATGCAGTAATAGATTTTTTTTACCTCAATTGATGATGTTTCATAAAAGGTATGGATTTTTATTTTGAGAAGAAAGGACCATGTCTAAAAATAGTTAACGAGGTTTCACATTATGGTATAACAAGAGAACGGTGTTCCCTTGAAGTGTATTCGTAGTGAAAATTAACGTAAATACCCGTGAAAGGAGTTTAAAGTATATTGTTTAAAATATAGTATCAAATACGAAAATATAGTCCCTAAAACCCTACAACGTAATGGTATGGGTGAAAGAATGAACTGAACTATCATCAAGGAGATTAGATGTATGCTCAAGATGGTTAATCTACCTAAATTATTTGGGGTGAAACTCTATTTACTGTGTTACCTGTTAAATTGATCTCCATCAATTTAGTTGGATTATAACATCTTTGATAAATCATGGACAAGAAAAGAAGTCTCAAACTATCATATGAAGTTTAATTGCAAAACCTTCATATATGTACCTAAGGAGCAGAGAAGCTTGATGACAAAGTCACTCCATGTGTTTTCTTGGGTTATAGAAATACAAATCTAGACACAAGTTATTGGATCCAGTGAAAAAAAAAAAGAGTGTCAAATCTAGAGATATAATATTTCAAGAGTATAAAACAACATCTAAATCATAAGTAACTAAGAAGATAAACACAAACATCAAAATTGATTCTTCACTAATAGCTAAACATACTACAGGAGAAGACTTGAGCAAAGAACATGGGAGTGAAACTAAGTCAGTAGAAGATGATGGTGTAAATTAAGAAGTCATCTAGTAAAGGTAGTAGCCCACTCCACCGCAGGTTACAAGACTTTAGTGTAAAAGATCTTTTATAGAACTAGTACTATCTACTAATGTCCTAACTCTTGATTTGTTACTCTTGTAGAAGATGAGGAGTCAGAAAGCTTCCAAAAAGTTCAAACTCATAAAGAAAAAGCTCATTAGATGAAAGCTATATGGGAAGAGATGAATTTCTTCATAAAGAACAATATCTACTAATTGGTAGGAATTCTAAAAAACTAAATAAAAATGGTGACAAGATAATCAAGTATAAAGCTCACCTAATGGTTGAGGGATTTAACTATAAAGGTATTGACTTTGGTGAAAACTTTTCTCCA